TAGCCCACAGATATTGTGATCAGCAAACTCGGAGACGAACTCTTCTTCTGACACAGAAAGTCGAATTCCTAGACGACATCCCGGCAAAAAATCAGTGCCTTATGTGCCGTTACAGTGACAACGGTTTGCCCAAAATTGGTTATTTGAAGTAAGGAAGCAGACTAGGCGGTCAAAGGTAGCAATAAGCAGATCTTCAGAACGGAGACGCTTTATATTTCTAGGCTCATCAACATTTATTTATAAAGAAAGGAGACATCTTATGCATTTTATCAGGAGGGCTAGAGACAACTTGGAAAAGGTGGATTATGTTTGTACTATTAATGTATTTACGTCGGTGCGAATCTTTTCACAGTAAACTTTTCAGATGGTTGAGTATTTTGCTGCCCTTGACTAGAACTGGGATGCGTAATCATACGAATTGATATAATAGATGCCATGTTGAAACGAGATAAGATTCGGGCCCGACCACCCCACACACCACAGAGCCCAACAAGAAAACAGATTCCTGTGTTAGGGTTAGCCGGACCTATATGCAGACTGAAGCCACAAAGTCGGCTTTCCCGAAAGCAGGTATTCCCCAAAGCTTATCCCCAAGACGCTGACATTAGGGTCGGAAGACTAGCCGATTAACACCAGTGAGGGCAAGTAAGTGCCTCCCGCTTAGCTGAAGCAAATGCCAACGCAGCGTGTTGGGGACAGTACTCAGCCCTTGAACTTTCAGGACCAACGACACGAGTCTCGACTTACGACAACTGCGTGCGCAATTTTCTGCGGCTCGAAAAACACAACAGCTGTACCAGCTTATCATGATGAGCTTCAATATCGAGGGAAACACAAGGAAGAAAAAAGTTACAACTAAGAGGAGAGGAGACATAAAAGTGGGTAAATCATTGGAGTTCCAAGATCGTGATACCTTTCTCAATAAGATGATCCCTTGAAGGGCTAAGGTACCCAGAGCCGATCCTAGGGGGCACAAGATGGTGCACAGCACTTGGGCGGCCAAATTTAAAGGCCGCGAAATTATTATGAAACATGCATACAATAACTAAATTCGCAAACTGCGATTTGAATCTGACTAAAGTTACATAAGTACCGCACATTTTAAAGTTCACTCTGGGAGAAAAATTATAAATAATGAACTTAATAACCGATATCCTGGAACGTTATTAAGATCGCTAGGAAAATTTATGCAATATAGTTTCTGAACGAACGAGATCCGTTCATTAGTCAACTAGCTGTAGCTGAATTAAATACGATCTTGTATCTTTCGTTCGCTTCGAAACCACAGGTCATTTTCCGGAGAGCACTGTTGATGCTGTAGCAAAATCCGCTGAGTGGGGGTGGGGGTAGGGATTCAAACAAAAGCTGCTTTGCGTCTGGACGTTTCTGGAAGAATCGGTTGCAGGTCTTCGAAAATGTGTTTTCCTGATTCTCCCAGAAAGTACCCAAGTTGGCGACAAATTAGCGAATCTCATTAGAGCCCGTCAGCAGCGTATTTGCCCTATCTTGGACTCCAGATATTTTTACTTAGACGCGGTTGCTCACAGAGTTCGAAAATCTACATTTCTATATAAGAAACAAACACTAATATGCTAAACATTTGATCATAAACTCAAGTACGAATAAAATAAATATGTAACATCATCCTGAAAGCAGCAAATAAGCCAATAAGTAAGTAAAGTAATACATAATAGTACAACAATATGGAAAAGAAGAATGCAATAAAAAGGACTTAAATATTTATAACAGTATAAAAAACTGTACAATAAGATCCATCATCTTATTGCACAGTTCAAATCAGAAACGAAGCTAACACTGTAGTTCAAATTAAGACTTAATTTATTTTAAAGTAGTTTACTGTGCGAGCGCCAAAACGTGGCGAAGTGGCCCAAAAATAGTAAAAATTCCCTTCGCCGGTTTTACTTATTGTCGTGTTAGTGTAAATTAATAAAACGCGTAGCTATAGCATACTCAGATCTTTTTTCAACTGGCCGAGAAGAGAAGAAATCTAAAAGGTAAGCAAAAATTTTGTTGCCACTCCACCAAAAAAACATAAGGGGATTTCATTTTCAACATTTGTGTGTTTCACAGAACCTAAATTAAACTTAAATTCAATATTATTTAAGTTATGACGAGTGACTAGATGAATATGTGCCTGATTTCATGCAGCAGAATCTCGAAATTCACTTAAAATCTTTTCAAAAGGAATGCCTGTAAATATTTTAGAAGCTATCATTCTATCTCCTTCGAAAACAAAAGTATGCCCAATTTCATTTATATGTCCAATATGGGTTTTTGAGTAGTCAACGTAGTATTTTCTATCAGTTTCAACAGTACCTTCTGCTGGGCAAACCCATTTATTATTTTTGGTTCTTGTAGTTTACAATGTCTAATATTTTACCCTGCAGTGCATAAACACCAGAGCAATGACATACAAAATGTGCTTAGTATTTGATTTGGTTTGTTGTACACCCCATTAGACCTCAAGAATTCATTTTCTTTCGGTTTCAGTGCCTTTCTTCCAAACAATAAATTCATTAAAAAATGCATGTCTCATGAAAGTTTTGAAAATGCTGTAATAATTATACTTTTGTAGAAATAAATTCACATAACGGGTAATTCTTCATCTTGTAACCCTAAATTTTACCACATTGTGTGCCTTAATGTACACGAAGCAGGTGTTGTCTTGAAAAATCTTTCGCACAGTCATTACATGTAAAGTTGTCAGCTGATCTTAATGTAGATTTCATCGCAATGAATAGACCATTCTAAATATAGAAAAACTGACTTCCATATTACTCACACTATAATAAATATACTAAGATAATTCAGACTTACTTCCACAGTATGCGATAGATGAAGGATCGCAAAATTTAACGGAAGAACATGCCTTTAATCGCCAGTCTGTCATATATAGCCATTGAGAAAGTTAGCTAAGCTAAGCTAAGAGTATACTAAAGCTAGGCACTACTCTTTTTCCTTGGCTACTGTTCATCACTTATGCCACTGCTCGCAATCAACTTCTGGAGTTCAGATGAACATCATTTATATCACTCAATGCAAATCTGCATACACAAGCACCAGTTTCTTAAAAAAAAAAAAAAAAAAAAAAAAAAAACCATAGCTTTTAGGGACATTAAGAACAACTGTATCAAAATACTGGGGGTGGTCACTGAAGAGTAATGATACTAGAATAGCTGCTATCTGGAAGTGATATGGAACTCTTACTATCTGTTGCATACTCAAACACGGAAAGTTAGAGCGAGCTCTAACACTTCTGATGACAAGAACCAGAGTAAAAAGGAACGTTTTCATGGTAATAATCTTTACTTTACCTAGATGAGTACTTAAATGTCAGATACCTTTGAAGAAAATATTACAGAGTTACCTAATGATGGTTTAAAAAAAGGACAATGAGATTCATTCTGAAAAACCTCAAAGATCACGTGTTTTAAGTATAGCTAATGTAAACAAAAGAGGTCATTCTTCCTCTTCTTCTCTTGCGGAATGTGTGTCATAATCAAAATTTAGCTACATCCCCTACCTGTTCTTTACCTGTGTTAGCCTCGCTGCGGGGGGCCTTGCGCCCAGCACAGCGGTTCAAAACAGGTAACTGCCTCTTTGTCCGTAATGGAGGACAATCTTTATCGATCTCTCTTTTAGCCTTTTCTTCCCAGCTTGTAATCCCGCCGGGACTGGCGCTGCGATCACGAAAGCTGGATGCAGTGTCTAAACATAGCTCCGAAATTTTTTAAATAAAAGTTTCAGTAAATGTTTTCAACTCTCTAAAAAAGTTTAATGCACCTTTCCTATGCAATGTCTCATTCATCAAATTGAAAAGGGAAACTTCGCTTCTTCGAAACTTCAGGTGTTTTGTTAGCTGTTCACTATCAACACGAAGAAATCCAAAAGAGGCCCTGACACGGAATATTCAGATAAGTAACATTCTGTTCTCTATACAATAATCTGTTTCTCTCTATCACTAGAGTGCCATTATTTTTTCTTTTTTAATTTTCTTTATTATTTTTTCATAAGATTCTAGCATTATAGTAATAGTTGTTTAATAGTAGCAGGTCATGTGGTTCTTTTCTTTCTTCGTAACTATTCCGTAGAGACGGCCACATTCCTTATCAGTAGTCCGTTCTTATCAGCAACTCACACCCTTCGGACCCCCCCCTTTTCGTGCTTCGGAATTTCTTGAGAGGGAGAAATGGGTATCTCTTGACTATCGATGAGTATAGATTGTGATTTTTGTAACTAAGATCCCCGACTTTTTTTTTTCAGGTCTCAAACTTAGAATTATGAGCAAATAAAAATACAGTGTGACGGAATTTGTTAAAGTTGTACTATAATAAATAACACCGGTTAAATTAATAAATTAATTTTTATATTTAACTAATATTTAAGAAAATAAACTGTATAATTTTATTTTTGCTGAAATGCTCTCACACTGTGTATGGATTTATGATTTTGTCAATTACTGTTTTTATGAATTACATGAATTTTTTTGGGAAAGGTAATATTTAATGTTACTTTAGTTAAAATATTATGTACATCTCTGTGATGATATATGTCTTTTCTAGTTAGGTCTCAAGATAAGGGCATACACATTGCCATGTAGGAATTCATTTATTTATTTTTTTAACTTAGCTAAAGTTTGCTTCTTAAAGACACGAATTTTTGCAGATGAACTCATGGACACAATCGTATTTTAGGGTATTTTCTACTTCTTTTCCTTTTCTTTCTATAGGCCCTTTTTTTTTTCCCCTCTATTATTTTTGGGCCATTTAATTTAAATTTTATTTTGTCCCATCTTTTCTTTCTGGCCTTTTGAACTCGTACAAAATGTACAAAGTTCCTTTTTACTCTCCTCAAATACGAAATTGCCCCCCTTTCTATATACCTTTCCTTCGCACCTATGCTTGATTTTTCGCCCATCGGTGCAGAAAGACTTAGCGGGTGCAAAACAAGACATCTGTCTAATTTGTCTGTCTGTCTCATCGGCTTTCTCTCGTATTTCTTAGCTTATGCTTCTCTCTCAGCCAATTCATTTTATATCAATGAAGTTGTGGAGATTATTGCATTAATTTGCAAAGGCACTTCGTAGCAATAATGCCTTGGTCCTAAGATTATTTCTATTATCAATCTGCCAAAAGATATCATTTGAAGTGCAAAATGCCTTCCGGTAAATTACATCAGTGAAATTTGACAGTCGCGTAATCTGTCCTGTAATCGTGCTTCATTTGCGAGCCGGTAGCCTGTGAAATATAGTAAAGAGTTTCGTAAAATGATTTACCTTACAAGAAGCGGGCGCTTCAAAGTTTCGTGTATTTTCTAAGTAACAGTTCTTTTAATTTTGGCGGTGCGGTGTTTTTATGAGAATCTGTGTAAATTCAATATCAAAGTTACTGTTTTGGGATACCAGCTGTTAGAATGATAAACAGTTATGTATCGCGCGATGTGTCTGAAAATTACTTAACAGTCAAAAATTGTATCATGGATCTGGCAAAAAATCTTTATATGCATTAACAAAACTTAAAATAGTTATGGAAGATAGATTTTTAATACAGAGCTTGCGCGTAGCTTTTGTAATATGCTTATATTTTTTGACGTTAGCATGCTATTTAACCCCAATTCTTGTTACAAAATATTGGGGTTCGAAAACACAGCTTATAACATCTCCAAACCGTGCTGTAAGAAATAAGCAACTAGGCTTTCGAATTATTAGTTGGTGCAATTGTACAGCAACTGGAATTTTTTTAGCCATGTGCTTCCTTGGCCTTTTTCCATATGTTGAAGAAAAGTTTCATTCTATAATTAGGAAACTGGATTATGATATTATGTTTCCTATAGCGGAATGTGTCATTGTATTAGGATTTGTTCTTACTCTTCTGTTGGAACAAGTTATCTTAACTTGGAGAGAACAAAAAGAAGCAAGTTTGCGTGATGATCCTGAACAAAATCAAGGATTATTGGAGGAATGTGAAATGCAGGATCTGTCAGATGATCCATCTGGACTACGTGATGAGCATGAAGAGCACGAACAAAGGCTAGTTGAAGGAAAGCCTTTGCAGCACTCAAATTTTTCTGGAGATGATCCTAATGTTGATGTTATATCAGTATCAAACAACATTGATCAAAGTCATAATTCCCACTTTGTAATGCTTATGCACAGAGGAAGTGCTTTCATTTTTTATTCTTGCACTTGCTACAGGATTGCATTCTATGTTTGTAGGTATTACTTTAGGTCTGCAGACTAACAGTTCAAAAGCTGTTCATCTCTTTATCGCAATAATAACACATGAATGTTTAGTGGCTGCAGCCCTTGGCATTAATTCAACTAGACTGAAATATTCTTTCATGTCTTATTTTAAATTTGCATCATTATATTCAGCTGCTATACCATTGGGTGTTGTTATTGGTGCAGCTATTGAACGTGCCCCAGGTACTGCTGGGGATGTTATATCTGCCATTCTTCAAGGTTTAGCAGCAGGTACTTTTCTTCATGTGACCTTCCAAGAATTTATCCCTTCTGAATTTTCAAACAGACAAGATAGAATATTAAAAGTATTATTTGTGGCTCTTGGCTTTATTATTATAGCAGTAGTAACATTTTTTATTAGCTAAATGTAAAATAGACTAGTGCTTTTTGTGTGTACAACATTTTTATAATAATTGAGAATCCAGTATAATATTTCACTTAATTTGAAAAAGTATTTTGAGATTTTTAGTTTTAACGTGCAACGGGCTTATTATTTCTTTTGGTATCTATACATTATTTATAGTGAAACAATATTGTACCTTTTCTTATAATATACCAGAAATTTTAAATACTTTTGTTATGGAATATTGTATTCCCCCACCCCCCTTATAATATTAAATGAAAAAGATTGAAGATGGAACAGGGAAGGGCAAAACCAGGATTTCTGAAATTTTCTATGCAGATTATATTTATCTATTTAATGATAAGGATATACGCATCTCCCAAAATACTAGAAAAAAAGGATATGTAATAATACAAAATGCATTGTTATATATATATAATTGTAATATACTTAATATTCTTAGGAATTATCTTCCTCACTATTGTATGACATATTTAATGTTTTCTTTTGTGTTATACATACACATTTTTGCATCAGTGATGTCTGTTGATGTAACTTAAAATAGTTTATTATTTGATATGATCTGAAATAAGGGAAAAAGTGCAGAATCATCCCACTGCTTGGCACATTTTTAAGACTTGCACAAACTCTGTATCTGTGTACACATTGATGTATTTTCACTTAAAAAGTCAAAGGAAATTGACAAAAATCCAATTGCTCTTACTCTTGTAAAAAGCGCCAAACATTGCGTGCTAAATAAGTGGGCAATTCTGCACTTCACCCCATCAAAATAAGTATGTTTCACATCATATATTCAGTTCTTATTGTTTTGAAGATATGTCCTAAATTTCTGAAGACTATTATTTATGGGTAATTAAGTATGAAGGATGACGTTGGAAAAATATGTAGTATTTATCTGCTTTATCCAAACTATTTAGTGAAGATCCGTGTTGGATAATATTTTTGGTACTTTTCCATTTTGCTGGCGCAGGCGATAAAGTCGCGAAAAATAGTACAACCGATGCCAAAGGGAATATCTCGCTGGTAACCTTTTACTCTTGATTTTCACAACAAATGGCAGCAATTTCTTACTGGATTGATTGTTTCATTCAATATTGGCTTAAAAATTACATAAAATGTTTACCAGATAGTTCAATTTTATGCCCTAAGTGATAGAAATTGCTTTCAATGTGTTAGGCTTAGCTTCGCCAGCACTGTGGATATTGCTTCTTTTTTGGAAAAATCAAAATTACTTCTTCATTTCTGCTAAATAAACTTCTTTAGAGCATATTGTGCTGATAATGTGATAGAAATTACTTAAATGGCAGCTATATTTTGAAAATATAGTAGTAAGAAATAAGCAAACCGCCAATGCACGTTACATGTTTAGTTAAAAAGTAAATAAACATGTAACGTGCATTTGCGGTTTGCTTATTTCTTTCTACTATATTTTCAAAATATATCTGCCATTTAAGTAATTTCTATCACTAAGGGTTTTCGTGGTAATTAAGCCAATTAGTATGCAATCACACTGCTCACCCAAAGGTGAAAATACGGAAAAAAGCGAAGTCAAGGGTTAAATTCATCAATTCTAATGAGAATGCTCTTGTGAAGTAAAGCACTGTGGTTTTACATAATTTCTAAGTAAGCTATTAGTACGAACTGAAATAATTCTTGCATTTGAATTTGCATTCCATAAGATTTAACTTGAAATTAATGTGGGTAATTGCTGACAGAATTAGATTTTTGTAGCGTAGTTTATGTGAGATGAGATCACTTGAGGCCATGTGATATGAATTGGTGTATCAGGATGTTGAACTATGAGATCATAGTAAATTCTTAAATTAATGTCTTTTTACAAAATTTTAAATATTAAAATGTTTATGCTTTCAAAATAAAAAATTCTTAGAACTAACATTTTTTATTTATGTGTATACTGTGTGTTGTTGCCAATAAAGTCTGCTTGGCGAGAATTTGCACCGTCCAAACGGAAAAGTACCATATTTTTTTCACTTTTCTAGGATTGGATTATTCAGTTATGGGAAAGCACACGAGGGCTATCTGCCTAAAGGGAGGGAAGCCTTCGTGGAGGACTTTCTAAGGGAAACTGGCTCGTATACACGTTACACATGGGAAAAACCACAAAAACGCTCATGCAGCCAGCCCGTTCGCGGAATTCAAACCTCAACTTTTTTAGGATAAACCATATATAAGTTTCTTTTCTTGAAAGGAAATGACTGGCAAAAATTTTTATGTCATGTTTGAAATCATTATTTGTATACATTTTTCATAAATTAAACTATGAGGTACTCCTGTAAACTTTAAAATCATTTAAAGGAAATTATATGCAATTACAATATCCAAAGAGTTGTTAAATTTTTATTATAATTATCATTTTTTAACTATTCAACTGTCAACATAAATACATGGACGTTTATCAGTCTTTTCCTTTAAAAAAAAAAGTGTTGAAAATTGCGAGTTAAAAAAACTTGTAATAAATCTTAAATAATTGATTGTTTCAAGTTTCATAATCTTTTTTGTAAAGTATTTTCATCGTTAGTGATAGTCCTCAGATAAAATTCTTCTTCGAATAGTAAATGTTCACGTAGAATGCATTGCAGATCTTTTTTTTTTTAAACCTTTTTCTAAAATCTTTGATGCCTTTGTCTTTAGTATTTTTGAGGAAACATTGTAAATTTAGTAGACATTAAATCTGTTAATGAATGTAGATGCTTAAAAGCCATCTCTTTGAGAGCAGTGTTATAATTAACCATTTGGCGTTTTTTTTTGTAAATTACATGTTATCCTGTAAATAGTGAGAAAATTAAACTGAGGTGCTTGATTTTTGCTTTCCATTCTCATTCATTTAATGTTAACTTTCTCCATAGTCATGGTTTTATTGCACTGAGAAAAGGGCAATGTTTTCATTAAAAACTGACACATTTTATTTCAATTAATTTAATTTGACATGTTCATTAAGTGAAAAAACATATATTGTACGAAACAGAAAATTTCTATTCATGTGTTGTGGCTGCACTCCTCTATGACCTGGTCTGTAATGCTATGAACTTTCTTCTGAGTATAACTGTAATAACTTTATGCCATTTTGAGTCACAAAAGGTTCTTAAGAATGCTCTATCCTAAAAGTTTAAGAATAAAAATGAATATTATGTAACTCTTTTTATTTTAAAATTGAAATCGCTAAAGACATATTTTGTGCTTTCTAAAAAATTAAAAGAAGAACTTTGAATTATTAGTAAAATTTTTATGAAGTGAGTTTAAATTGTGTTTTAACTCATTTTCTTCAGCTCATACTTGTGCACTGAGGCAATGAATTGTGTTATGAGTTAGTTTACATTAAATGTTCTTTAATTTTGAAGAAAGTTTAATGTAACATTTATTAATTAAATGTTCTCTAATTTTCAAGACAACATGTAGGAAATAGTTTGATATAACTGGATTCTCAATGAACTGATGCTGTAAAAATGTCCATACATGTAGGTATTCATACTGCATATTGAGGTTGAGAAAATTGACTGAATATTTTAGAAAGCAATGTAAAATGGTGAAAATCCAGGAAAGTATTTTTTTTTTCTGATAGAATGTTTGATCCTTTTTCATCGTAGTGAAAATTCTCAGGATGTATAAAATTCAGCAATAAGTATTTATAAAGTTAAAACATTGTATTATTGTTGTTTATTGATTATATCTTTTGCATTAGAAATGCCATAAAGGCATATTTCTCAGATGTTTGACATTTTTAATGTATTGTTATTAACTTGGAGTTATCTTTCTTCTGTGTATTACTAGGTGCATAATGTAGTTTAGCTACATGGTGTTAAAGTTAGATATTTTGTCACAAATAGCAAATACATACCATGTTTTATGCAAGTTCTTTTGCTGCACAATTTGCAAGTTTTTTATATTGTGCATACTGTATATTAGGGTGTTGTATACCTTAAAAAAAGTCATATCTGGTACCTCTGTTGAAAATTTCAAATATATTTAGTATCTTTTTATCTTAAATAAAGCACAACTTTTGATGCAATTGTTATGAAAAGAATGGTGCTTCTCCTGCACATTATGTTACAAATGTTATTTGTTAATATGAATTTTAAGTGCTGAAAATCTCTTGTTAAAGTACCTAATATTTGAAATTTTTATTTTCATATTTTACAGTAGTGTTTTGTATAGTCCCTTGCATATTCATTTTGGTACCTCACCAATTAAAATGAAGTATTTGAAGAATCTTTAGTTGAAGTTATGTTTGAGAACTTTGGATGGGATTTTGGTAGTTTACTTGTAGGCAGTGCCAAATCAAATTGCATTAACCTATGCAAAAATTTCCTATCAAGTAACATGTTGAGGACAAAAAGTGCCTCTAATGAAGCTTTTGGATGAACAATAACTGTGAAACATAACTTTTATTAGAATTTTGCAGTTTACAGCATAAATGCCATGTTAATTCAGAAAGTTGAGTACTATTAACTTTCTGTTACCATTTCTACAGTATTTATGTTCTTTTATATATAGAGGTTAATATTCTGATGACCTTGTAATAAGTAATGAATAACGTATTAGTCATACTATAAATGCTTAGTTTATCTTATAGCCTGCATTTCTTAACAAGAAGTGTTATTTCTCAGAAGACATATAACTGTTTCTCTACCCCAGAATATTTTTCTGTCATATATAGTATGATTTTGCTGCTATAAGTTTGAAGTTCATAAAATATGTCAAATTTTTGAAAAATTCAATCTGAAAATAATTTTTGCTATACATCTTCAACAGATATAAGAAATTAATAAGTCATTTTATCGAGATTTATTATGATATGCTGAGGTAACATCCACATATATTATATTTTGAGCTTAAAAATATTTTGCATTCAGAATTTTATGCATACTGACATGCAAAAATTATGTATTTCAAATCATTGTTTTAAATATAAAAATGTTCATTCTGTATTCACTATTGTTAACATATTACTGATTTCAAAGATCATCAACTCTACCTTCAATTTAAAGATTAGCAAAATAAATATAATTTTCTAAATTCATTTATGTTTTTTTACTCTGGAACAATTTGTGAAACTGTTTCAGAATTAATTATTGAAAATATTTTTTTCTTTCAAAATAATAATTTTTTTTATTATATTACTATAATGACTAATTATTATATGATGCAATATGTGAAATCACTCCATTGTGATATTAATGATGAGTGCCAAAAAATACACTGCTTATGGCTACAGCCGAAACTACTAAGGGAAAAAAATATTTTTTTAAAGCTTTAGAAAACTATATCCGAATTTAATTGAACTAGCATTTTTTCCTTAGTATTAAAATTAGAAATAATAATTTTTTAGAAAGTTTTTAAAAAGGCATTCTAATAATTTAAAATTATTCATGTTGTAAAAATTCTGGAAAAAAAAAAAAAGGTGCATGTAATTGCAGTAAAAAAAAAATCATTTCTTTATGAAAACTATATTTAAATATTGACAACTATTTTTGTTTATAGGAAATTTAGTCAATTAACTGTTTTTATTATGTACTAACTGCTACTGGGAGCTTAAACATTAATCGTAAAGCTGATGTAGTTGTTGTGTTCTGGTTTCCTGCAAACTAATTTCCTGCTTTTATCATCTGTTTACATTTTTCAGTGTTGCACTTCCACAGCACTTTTTGTTTAGTGATGCATAATTTCATTGTGTGAGAATCGAAATATTCTCAAGGCAATAAATATTCCATGATTCTGAGAAAGCTAACTTTTCCATTATTTGAAAAAGCCTAGGGATCCAGTCACAAAAAAACAAATGCAGAATATGTCAAAAGCTGGAAAAATTGTAATTAGAATAAGAAAGATGGCAAAATTTAAACAAATGGTGGCAACACTGAGGCAGGCTTTCAATAGCAAGTTATCACTAATTGTAGCTCTCGAAAGTAGTTAATATGTATCACATATTTATTGCTGTTTATCTAATTCATACATAAGCATGTGACTGATAATTCACCATAATTTGGGTCCAGTGGCATAGCTAGGGTGGGGCAAGGGGGGGAGCATCCAAGGGTGACAAATTGATAATACACATTTCAGAATGAAATATTTTCCATTCTTGAAACACAGAAAGGGACACAAAATCTTTAGGTGTCCCTAGGTGCTGAAAACCTTAGCTACGTCTTTGTTTGGGTATCTATCTTTGTAAAGCAAAAGTTAAACAAAAACAAATATTTGTTAATTAATTATGACAATATGATCAAGTCAGAGGTATTTCTGACTTACCTACAAGAGTCTGTTTACTTCTGTAAAAGTTAATTAGTTACTTGTGTTTTAAATTATGTAAAAGAGAACCAGAA